TCGGGGGTTTAAGTGGAGAGAAAATGTTTTGAGAATGATGTACAAATGCGCTTTACACAATTGATGTGTATATGGATTGCGATAACAGTTGTATGAGCCTCTAATAAAATGTTTTAAAAAAATCAGTTTTTGTGGGGAGCTCTTTTAGGTATAACATTCCACAGTATTAAAACTATTTTTGGTTTATAGAAAAGTTAAACAGAGAGTAGAGAGCTCATTTGTCCCTTTATACCTTGAATGCCTGTAGTACAGTTATAACAACTGATACCTGACTATAAACTAATGTCCATAGTTTGCTTTAGGTTTCACTCTGTCTCGTACATCTTGTAGGTTTTGACAAATGCCAGTTTGTCATGCAGAATAGTTTCACTGCCCTAAGAAATCTCCGGTGCTTCTATTCATTGCATTCGAACCCCCCCGTCCAAACTCATGACAATCACTAATCTTTTCACTATCTTCATAATGTTTTACTTTGTCCAGAATGTCCTATTATTGGAATACAGTATATGGTTTTTGTAAACTTAGAGTTCCTATTTTAATCGTCCTAATTTTCTACTTTTACAATGAGTAGGCAGTGAGAAACAACAGTGCTCAGGAACAAAGCCCCACTAAGTTTGTGTTCAGCGTTTAAGGTGCGCAGGGCCCGGCCCGGTCCAGGAATCGCACCTGCCCTACCTTGGTTAATGCGTAGGCCAGGGTCCCATCGTCTTCAGTAGAGCCATCGAGCAATTTCTGGTAAAACGCTTCATTGTAAGGTCCATCTATTTGTAATGTTTTTCTGAAGGGGGAAAGCACACACATAAAAACAAGGTAATAAAGATATCTGAAGGAGTTTTTCAAACTGTTAAAACACATTTAATTTTAAATATACACGTTCAATATTAAAGAACACCTATTGTGTCATCAAAGAACCCTGGTGCTACAGAGGTTAAGCTTTCACCCACTTACTAAAAGGTTGGCAATTCAAACCCACCAATCACTTTGGAGGATAATAATGGGCACTCTACTTCCATAGAGATTACAACCTAGGAAACCACATGGGGCAGTTCTCTGAGCTATGGGGTTGCTATAACTAGGAAATGACTCTATATCAAACAGCAATGTACTATCTCTTCTGGAAAGTACAATTTGTTCTGTAAAGCACAAAAGTCTTAGCGATAACCTATCAAAGCCAGAATGTCAGTAGGTCTAGAAGTTGAGCTCTCTCCTGTTTATGACTAATGATATATGAGGTTAGAAATGTCCATAAGTACTGGCTTGGGGGTACAGGAGAGTTTAGTCTCAGGCCTGTTTACATCTCAGTGACTTCCAATTCAAGACAGGTCTGGAGACCAAAAGCTCAACTCTAGAGGGGGTGCCACAATCCCACTGACAAGTCACTTTAGAGCTCATCTGAGGAAGCTCTCATAAACGGAGCAACACTGCCCTCTATAGGTAGTTGGAGATATCGCGGGAAGGCCAGTTCTTAGAAGGCACAGCCATTCACAGAACATGCTGTCTTTTCTAGAAATGGATAAGTAACAAGTAATGTGGTGATGACACTAGTTCCTCCTTTACCAGACCCAGGCCCAAATCTAAGGTGGGTGTTTGAAGGGAAGAGCGGTGTACTCATCAGAGGGATGTGTCCTGAGATGTGCTATTTCTTCTCTACTGACACATTTGATGTGGGAGTTGGCTCCATCTTACCTGGGCAGTACTCCTGTAGCACTACCCTCAGGACTGTTTGGTGACAAACAAGACATCATGGCCTACTACTTACCTCTGCTCAGGAAACTCCTGTAGGTACCGCTCAACCCGGCTGTACAGAGGGTAGAGGCCCTCAATATCTAGCATGTCCAACATCTGCACCTGAAGGGTTTTGTACAGAAGACAGTCCTTCGGTAGCCCAGACTGCTCTGCGGTGTTTATTCCTTCCAAGAACATAGGAAAAAAAGGGATTTTTTTTTAATCAAAGAATAAAGACTGATGAGCTCCAAAAGGAAGCAGCAGTGAATCAATGGAGGCCTAGGTTCAACCCTCCTCTAGGATCAATACTGGGTGCCCTAGACAGGTGAGGGAGATGGTCGAATTTTAAAGGAAGAGTCAAGCTACCCTTCAAGTACTCACTGCAGGTATCACCTGAGCACCCCAAGGTACATGACCCTGCCAGGCACTGAGGGTTGAAGAAAAGTCCCACAGGTGTGAGAGAGGACTATGCGATGAAAGGCCAGCAGCCCCACCTGCTCGCTATCAGCCTGTCCTACTTAGACTAGCCTTTCTATTTCATCACACTGTGATTTATGTTTACAAAGAAATTATTCACGCCACATCAATCAATGCATAGGGTTTCACATGACTATAATAAAACCCCCCAAATTTGCAAATACCACTGCCCTTTACACCAAACAAGCTGAATCCAGAGCATGAACCCATGCTGAGGTGACGCGAGGCACCAGGCAGTCGCTAGTGTCTGTGTAATGCTCTGGTGAACTCATCGTCGCCGACATTAAACCTTGCCAAGGACCTATCTTCATATTACAAAATCAAAATGAATGTGACTCAACAAGCACATCGTGAATACCTCTGTATATGACTTTTGAGGGACTTAACCATCTTTCGTAAAGAAACAGACAACGGCAAAGCAAACACCAGAGTCTAAGTTTGCTGCACAGATGAGGGCTGTCAGGTGTGCCCCAGGCCTGGCTTGCAGTGCTCATGCGTCTGGGTGGTGGGAGCCTGGGGAAGCTGAGAGTTGGCTTGGGTGCGCTTACAGCATGCTAACGGAAAAGAACACCACCGTAAGCCCTCTAGTGATCAGGGTCTTTTTTTTTTTTTAATCAATTTTTGGGGGCTCGGACAATGCTCATCACAATCCATACACACATCCATTGTGTCAAGCACATTTGTACGTTTGTTGCCATCATCATTCTCAAAACATTTTCTTTCTACTTGAGCCCTTGGCATCAGTGACCAGGGTCTTAAATGCCCCTCTGGAGAGATACTTTTCATTTAAAATTCATGTTCTTAGAATATGAATATGACTTTATCAATTTTTGAAAAAATGATCATGTATTCCTTTAGTAACATGGAAAAAAGATAAGAATAAATTGGCATGAGGTAGGGGCACAGCCAAGAGAAACAAGCAGGACATCTGTGAGGAGGGAAGGCACCAGAAGGCTGGATGTCAACTCCCTGGGTAGGAGTGGCCATAGAGGATAGTACGGTTACTGGTGAATCACATGAGAGGGCTGCTTACTCAACTCCAGACAACCATATTCTCACTGAAGGGTTAAGACCACAGGTATCTTTAGTATAAAAACTGAATAACAGAGTGTTAATACATGGCCTAAAATATTAAGTTAATGGCTATTACTCTCTCATCCCAAATGTTAAATTGTGGTGCTTACTAGTAGATGATAAAAAAATCAAATAAGGGGCCAATACACTTTAAAAGGAAAAACCCAATCCAGCCCAACCAGCTACGGACATAGGTATTATTCCTGGCACCACACCACTGCCAAACCGTATACCACAAGTGACAGCTGCTCCATCGAAAGGATGCACCACACACAGTATCCACCCTCTGGCCACCTAGGAGTGGTCTCAGTCCCATTCCTGCCTATGAGTCAGACACTCCTGGCCACATACACGTCCTTAGTAGATGGGTCTGAGGCCCCTGCAGCATCAGCAATGCTTACAGACCACTGTCTGGGGGAGGCTCACTGCTACGTCAAATTCCAGAAACGTTTAAACTATGGGACAATTTCCTTCATCTGCAAATCTTATCCTTAAGAGTTACAATGAGGATGCGATAATCTAAATCACAAAGAAGTGCATATATATGCATTTTATAAAATCTTATCATAGACAGGAAGCATGGAATCTTCAAGGGTATGTATGAAAGGCAGTGGGATACTCTACAGAAAGCCTATCAGACTCTAAGCAGGGACCAGAGAGAGTCACTGGTATTGTGGGCCAGTACTCTCCCCCCACCCCCCACCCCACCCCCTCTCAAATCTGTGTGCTCAACTCTGCTCTCACTACTGCCACACTACAGCCTTCACTCAGGATGGGGCCTACCTTGACAGCTCAGTTGCCTGCTGAAAGGGCTGGCTTCACAGGTTTGTGGACCCGGTGGGGAAGGCACAGCTCTCCAAGAACTTGGTCGGCTCTTATCCGTGCCACTCAGCAGCACCTGAGTGAGGACATGAACCAGCTCTCGAATCACAGCCCTGGTGCAGTGTGGCCCGCTGGCCAGGCCATTGGAAGGAAAGAAGAAGGGTTTCAGGTGGTGTGCAAGCTCACTCCAGTTAGCCACTGAGTCTTGAACTTCCTTGCCTCCATAAATTAATTCACCATTCTTCAGTTGGGGGAAAAGAGAAAATGGAAATATCAGCACCAAAAGACAACAAAACATACCTTCATCCCTGCTACAGCAGGGTGCAATCCATAGTGGCTGACATTCTAGTATGTCCCCTGTATAGAGCTTCCCCCCACACGATGGCCTCTGTAGGGAGAATTATCCATGAGCATGGAGTCACAAGGCCACTGGCCAAGAAACAAGTTCTGGTAGGATGTGCACCAGGAAAACAATTTTCACGATGTGAAGATAATGCCCTGGCCTGCAATACTCTTCCAGCATTTCTGAAATGGTAAGCAGACCCTCAAAGTACACAAGCAATATAATCACTAAGAGCAGGCAACCTAGTTATTGAATAGCACCGGTGACACACAGCTTGGCCAAGGACACAGGAGAACATTTGCATCCTGAGAAGACTCTCTTTTCTCCACCATCTGGGCATGTTGTCGCCATGGCCACAGTTGAAGTTTTTTCAGACTTCAGACTCAATGCCATACTTGTGCCCAAGCCAGTGCCTTCACTACACAGGAAGGGGCTCTAGCTGCCTCCCACATCCTCCTCAGTCAAATCGTGCTGCAGTGGTCCTGAGCCCGGAATCCATGGTGGGTGAGCTCTACATGGTACCAGACTTATCTATGTGAACAACAGCACACAGAAGGAATGGCATGTCGAGATTCAGTTATCAAAGACACTGGGACTCCATCATGGCTGCATTTCTCTATGATAAGCACTGGCCACACTTGGGCCAGGGGACCATCAAGAAAGCCAGAGGAGGGTTTCTAGCAAACGAAAGAAAAGCAAGTCTTCCTGACCTGGAGCACCTGTGACAGCAGTGTGGCAAAGCCAGGACCATGGGGGCAGAGCTGAGGCTATGGGGCAGTGGGCACAGCAGCCACCAAGCACAGGAGGGCCTGGGTTCACAACAAAGTGTGCCTCACAGGTGTGAACCCAGCCTTCTGGCTGTCCCTGGCTCTGTACTTCGGCAGTCAAGCTCCCTGGGGAATGAAGGGCATGCTTAGTAGCCGAGGGGTCGGGGCTGGGCAGGCAGTGACAATGCAAGGCTATCATAAGTCCATAATTGGACCCCAGTGATGCTTTTCACACAGAGAAGAAAAGTGTCCTTTTAATGATGGCCACCCACAGCCAGCATCAGCCATCACAGCACTAGGGTGGGGAGCACCATTACTGGGTGGATTCGCAGAAGATAGACAAAGTAGATTTTAATGTGTAGCAGATCAGTGATATAACAGAGACCGCGAAGCCACAATCATGGCAACTGTTCCCCACATTCTAGGTAAGGCTCTGGTGTTTCTGTTGTGCTGTTTTCGGGTCCAGGGGTGAGCTGAACGTCCCACCAGGACAATGACACCATATCACTTCTCTTAATTCATATCTTTAAAACAATGATCTAATCCCTTGGATATTTTCACAGGTTGATTCAGTAGAAGCAACACAGATCTCATCTCTGAACCAGGACCAGGCCAGGTCATGGGTTGTACAAGGGGCCTTGAAGCCCAGACAAGTCAGAGGACAGCCAGGGTCATAGCAATATGTGGGCACAGAAGACCCAAGGCAAGGTAGCAATTCCAAGTGGAGGAGAATTTGTCTTCAGATTTCATTATAAAACCATTCAGTCTTTTTAAGAATTAAAAATTAAACTCGTTTTTTTTATTTAAACTATATCCTTTCTCTGTATAATAGGGTAAGGCAACCACGCTAGCCATGTTCTCAGGGTCTGGTCGTAGTACAACGCACAAGGAGGGCACTTTGTTAGGGTTTTTAAAACAAACAAGCAGAGAGCCATGCCACCTGGACTCTGATCATCTTGGAGTTTTATAGTTACTGGCAAGCAGGACTAGCAGGGACCCTATAAAAATGGCCACTCCTCCATGACCAGAACCAGGGGAGATGCAAGTGGCAGTCCAGACTGCCCAGGACCCCAGCTAACCGAAGACCGGGTATAGGACCAGGGGTTTCTGAGACAGGTGAGAGGGAAGGCAGTCAGTGGCAAACTCCCACGCCCCTACCATTAACCTTTCAAACATAGGAAGAAGGAAAAAGTCTCTTCTACAATAACCACTGCACGTTCAAACAGAGGCTTTAATTGATGGCACGCAGGTGATGGCCCTGGGGCCACGGTAGTGACAGATGTGGGCCTTTCCTCATTCACCTCCAACACAAGCTTATCTATGAGCACCACCACTCCTGGAGGAAGCCTAGGTTCTTCACCAATGGCCATTTATGCTTCCTTTCAATATAGGCCTAAGTGGAGGAGGTGGGTATGGGGTGAAGTTAATGGAGAGCAGGCAAGGTAATGACAAGCCGAGGGAGCATGCCCTTAATATGTTGGCCCCTAGGCTGAGGAAGAGCTACAGTCTTCTCCAGGACCTGTGGAGCTTCCAACCCCTCTCACACTTACCCCCCTCTACCTCTTAACTCTTCATCCCTCACCTGCTAACTTTTACAACTTTACCCCTTAATCTCCTCACTCTTTTTTTCTCCTTCCTCACTCTTTCATCCCTCATGTCTGACCTTCTCACTCTTTATCCTCCTTCCCTCATCTCTTACCCTCTCTCAGGGTTGATGTCCCAATTCTGCTTCCCCCTTTTGAACTTTTCCAAGAGCCCCTGATGCTACTCATTTCAACGACAATAACCAGGAAGATAAGCAAAATAAAGTTGAGGACAGCCTGGATCTAGCAGGATGGGGTCAGGCTGCCCATTGTCCAGGTAGAAGAGCCTCAGAAAGATTTCCTTGGTGAATTGAAGGCCATGATGAGGTTTCACCAAAAACTTCAGGCCAAGATACCAGGTGTGTGCACAGGCCCTAGGGGTAGAAAATCCTGTGCATACCTGGAAGTTTACACCAGTGAAATGCAACCTGAAACCGGGCTCTAGGAACAGAGATGTTCAAGATACAAATATAAAGCCCTGGACTAACTATAACTAGAAGGCCTGACAGGGCACCAGAGCCACTGTGCTGAAGTTGCAAACACTCTCAGCCATTGCTGAGACAGTCCCATCCACCTGCTCATGTTCAAGGCCACAGGGCCCTTATAAGGCTTAAGGAACAGGGGCCTGGACAGGCCCATGTTTGGCAAAAAGTCAAAGGGATCCACTGGCCTCCACCCCCAAGAAACTACCATAAAATAGAAGCAACTCTTACCTTGAATATCTTTAAGTTGTTCTGTGCCTCCTGTAACAAACTTTTCAAGGCAAAGTGCATTCTTTGTTTATTTCTAAAAGGGGAAAGTATTATTGATATAATTCAAAAACAGTTGAAATCGTCCTTTGAACATTCTGGTATGTTTTTACAGGAAGCGCACTAAGGACGTCAGGGAGTTCTGCTCACGGGTCTCTGGGGCTTTGCTCAGCCACTGGACGTTGGCTGCTGAGCATAAGTCTGAAGAGACACACTTGCCCTGGGAAAGAAGACTTACTTGCAATAGAAACTAAGGGTATTTTCACATCTCCAGAGGTATGAGAGATCAAAGGCTTAACCACTTGAATTTTGATGTTGCAGATGGGAGAGGGCAAGGGCTAAGGGTCAATTAGTTTTTGACCTTAGTGGAAGACAAATCCAGTCCTGATTTGAATTTCAAGAAGAAAGCCAGCAAGTTACCAACAGCCTCAAGTCTGTGAGCACAAAGGCAGGCCCACCATACCTGAGACATTGATGGGAATACCAGCATGGGGCCTTCACACAATGACACCCCCATCACTACAAAGTCTTGCACAAGGAGTTAGACAAGGAGCATTTCCTTACCCTGAGTAGAGATCGAGGGGGCAGTATTTACTTATCTGCTTCCACTTTCCAGTTGCTACCTATGAAAAATGAACATGAAGCATGAGATAAGACATGACAAGACATCATAAGGGATCACACAAGCTCTGGGACATAATAATCCCAACAGCGCCCACCAAGCTTCCACACACTCAGGCTAGGAGGTGGGAAGGAAAACAACTAGATTCCCATCCCTTTCTCAGGATGGCGTCTCAGCCTGACATATGAATGGGGCAAGCAACTTACAGGGTTGAAGTTATGGCGATTAACAAAAATCATTAAATTGACACTGTCCTGTTGAGGAACCCTGGTGGTATATTGGTTATGAGTTGGGCTTCAATCCGAAAGGTCAGGTGTTCAGAACCACCAGCCGCTCCTCGAGAGAAAGACAGGGCTTTCCACTTTCACAAACAGTCTAGGAAACCCACGGGGAATGTTGCTATGAGTTAGCATCTGCTCAACAGCAGTGAGTTTTGGTTTTGTTTTGTTATGGACAAGTGTGTCAACAACAATTTGCACGTTCCTGGTGGGATTATAATTTGGCAAAACCCTTCAAAAGGCAGTGATGACAGATAACAAAGCCTCAGGTAGCACCATATGCATTACCAAACGGAGGCCACCATAGCAGAAATGAGCCAGTGGCAAACATATTTGCAACCCTTTAATACAGTCCCATATGTTTTGGTGACACCCAACCATAAAATTATTTCATTGCTACTTCATAACTGTAATTCTGCTATTGTTATGAAGCAGGCGACCCATGTGAAAGGGTCAATAGACCCCCAAGTTGAGAACCACTGGTCTAGAAGGATATGCAAGCTGTCAATATGAGCTTCCTATGGGAACGCAAGTTGCTTCGTGTATTTCTTATTGTTTCTATCCATAAAACATACAATTTGATATAATTCAATATTTTATTAATTCATTCTTTTACCCATTATATGAGCAGACACAGTCAACAGTAATGATGAAACCACTATTTAAAGAAAATGGCGTGACAGTCCTTGAGACTAAGGCCCTTCGTCTCCTTCAGGCCTGGAATGGAACTCACGCTTCTTATACTAGGCAGGTCTACAAAGGCACAATAATTCTAGGGAGGTACATATACCCTAGAATAATCAACAACTTGAGATCAAACATGGGCAATATTTGCCCACAGAGAAAGTTCAGAGGATTGTAATCAGTAACATGAAACAAAATGTGTATGAATTGTTGAACAGAAAAATGATCTGTTCTGCAAACCTCAGGCAAGCCACAAAAAAGTATTTACAAATGGCTCAAACATACCTCCTTTTCTCTAACTGTCTGTACAGCTACTCAATCAAAAAGAAAAGACAGCAGTGGAATAATGAAGTAAGGCCTCTAAAAATTCTCTCCTACATTAAAGCAATAAGAAATAGACATTTGTACAACTCTGGGAATTAACCAAAGGTTTGTACCACTCTGGAAAGCATCTATTAAAGAAAAACAGACAAATCCAAGTGAAACAGCAGGTTGCTTCATCACATTCTATTTTTTCTATGTCATCCCCACTATCTAGCTGCACAGTAGCCATATAAAACAACATCCTGTGTAATGGCTAAAACAAACAGCTTGCCAGTCAACTGAAGAAGCAGAGCAGCATTGGAATTTCTTCAAAGCCTAGAAAAATTAGCATTATCATAGTTTCTGGTATTTCGTGCAAGGTCTCACTTGCAAGGCTGTCTTTATAGAACTTCTTTAGAGCTCACCCAATTCAAAAGGTCTTATAACAGAAATATCTGTTGAAAAAAAATTAAAGGCACCCATTTAACCTCATTTCATGACTGCCTGGGGCAATGGGCAACAGCTAGTATAAACAATAACCCCAAACACCCAAACCAAGTTGATTCTATGCCGTTTTCAACAAAAAGAATGAAAAGACAGAGAGGGAGGGAAAAAAGAAGAGCTGATACCAAAGGCTCTAACAGAAAATAAGTGTTTAGAAAATCTTGATGGTGACATATGTACAAATATGCTTGTTACAATTGATGTATAGAACGTTGTAAGATTTATACGAGCCTCTCAATAAAATGATCTTTTAAAGAAAATGAAGACATGCACATAGGGAGTACAAAAGAACATCAACATATTGTACAGCAGGATTTATTAAACATTTTAAATCAACCACTTAAAACACATTTGAAGAGGTAAAGGACACCAGCACCTGACTGAATGGATGCATGAATGAACAAATGAATGGAAAGAATCCGGAGAACCATGTCACAACAGCTAGAAATAAAGAGACACTTCAATGAAAAGATGTTACTGCTTGCTATCTGTAATTGTTCATTCCAACTCATGGCAATATTATGTATAGCAGAACAAATACTTCCAGCGCCACCTTTACAATCATGGGTATGCTCGCGTCCACTGGGTCCATTCATCTTTTTTATCGACCCACCACTTTATTGAACATAAAATACTTCCTGTGCCACCTTTACAATCATTGGTATGCTCGCGTCCACTGGGTCCATTCATCTTTTTCGGGGACCCACTGTTTTACTAAACATCTGTCTGTCCTTTTCTAGAGGGTGATCGTTCCAGATGATATGTCTAAAGCAAGTTTTGCTATCCTCGCTTTCTTCGGAGTATTCAGATTGTATTTCTTCTAAGATTGCTCTATTTGTTCTCCAGGCAGTATATTAAACACTCTTCACCAACATCACAATATGACTACATCAGTTATAGCACTGTCCAGATTTCACATACATATAAAGTGATGAAATAGGACACTGTCAGGTGCAACCACGTTAGGGACACCTTAGCATGAATGCGACATCTTCATTTTTTAAAACTTGAAAGAAGTTTTTTGCTGAAGATTTTCCCAATGCAATGCATTGTTTGACTTCTTAACTTCTGCCTCTAGGGACACTGACTATTGATTCAAAATAGAATGAACTGATCGACAACTTCTTTTTCCTCTGTTTACCAAGATGCTGCTTATCAATCTAATTATGAGAATACTTGTTCTGTTCATGTTCCAATGTAATAGAAGGCTGTCGTCTTTGACCTTCACTAGAAAGTGCTTCAAATCATCTTCACTTTTGGTAAGAAGGGCTTGTTACCTACATATCACAGGTTGTTAATGAGCCTTCCTCCAATCCTGATGCCATGTTCTTTTTTATTTGCTCAGCATATGCATGAAATAAATAAACCTGGCTTATTTGTTCAGTATATACATTAAATAAGTAAAGTAAAAATGAAAACATATTAAGAATGCAAATGAGAAAACATAGATACGGGAAGAGAAATGTCAAGCCATATGAAGACTGCCAAGAAGCAGAAGCTTAAAGACAAAGACTTTCCTCTGGAGAGAGAGAAAACCTTGCATTAGAGCCAGCACCCTAAATTCAGATTTCTATACTCCTAAAGTGTGAGAAAATAAATTTGTTTCTGGTATTTCTGTTATAGTAGCACTAGATAACTAAGACAGCTAAAGAGCAAGACCTGGTGATCTACTTCCAAAAAATAAGCCACTGAAAATTCCCTGGAGAACAATTCAACTCTGACACACACGGAATTACCATGACTCAACAGCAACGGAGTTTTGTGCTTTTGTTTTTCAATCCAGATTATATAAAGAAGGCTTACAACTCAACAGCAAAACAAAAACAACCTAATTTAAAGATGGGCAAAAGATCTGAATAGCCCTTTCTCCAAAGAAATTATCACTATTAAAGGATAGTGAAATGTTCTTATGAACTTTTTGAAGCCTCCTCATACAAATGGACACCAAAGACGTGAACAGGTTCGCAGTATCACTAACATTAGGAAAATGCAAACTAAAGCCATGAGATACCATTTCACAACTACTCATTCACTCACTCATTGCCATCAAGTAGACCCCAACTCATAGTAACCCTACAAGGGACAGGGTAGAACTGCCCCTGTGGGTTTCCAAGATTAGAACTCTTGGTGGGAGTAGCAAGCCTCAAATAGGGTGGCTATCACTTTGAAAATGGAAAATAAGTGTTGGCAAAAATGTAGATACACCGAAACCCTCATAAATTGCTAGTGGGAAAATAGCAGAATCCCTGGAAAACAGTTTGACAGTTTTTCCAGTTGTTAACCCCACAGTTACCATATGATCAAGCAATTTCATTTACAGGTATATATCCAAAGGAAAGTAATTTACGTCTGTTATCTTCTAAAAGAAAAGAGATATCCATGCAAAATCCTGCACATAAATATGCATATCAGCATTATTTGTAGTAGCCAAAAGGTGCATAAAACCCAAATGTTCACCAATGGAGGAATAATAAAAAGAATGTGGTATATCTTTACAATAAAATATCATTTGGCATAAAAGGAAATGAGATCCCATACATAATACATCGATGGAACTTGAAAGCATTATGCTAACTGAAAGAAACCAGTCATTGTTATCTGATTCCATTTATATAAAATACCCAGAATAAGCAAATCCACAGAGACAAAAAGTAGATTAGTGATTACCAGGGACTGATGGAAAGGGACAATAAATGGATTAGGGGGTTTCTTTTTTGAGTGATAAAAAATTTTTAGGATTGGATTAAGACCACTTCCAACCTTATTATCCCTGTGTATTACAGTAAATTCTACCATTTGCCCAGTGAACATAACCTAAAGATACAAAGATGTTGAAATATGTATGTACCTCAGGTATTTCCCATAATTAGCCTATTCTTGCCTTCTGGGTAAAAGGAGCCCTGGTAGCATAGTGGTTACGAGTTGGAGTGTGATTCACAAGGTCAGCAGTTTGAAACTACCAGCTGCTCTTTGGGAGAAAGATGGGGCTTTCTATTCCCATCAACAATTACTATGCTCGTCTTGGAAGCTCCCAGGGGCAGCTCTATCCTGCCCTATATGGTGGCTATGAGTCAGCATCCACTTGATGGCAGAGTTTCTGTTTGTTTGTCTTCCTGATAATCAATTTCTTTTGAGCTCTTACCTCCCAGCAAAGTATCCCATCATAGCAAGTCAGTATTATAACCAGATCTACCCTGCTGAATATGTATAGAAGGGACAAGGACAACCAACAGCGGATCCTACAACAAAGTAACGTTGGTCAAGGACAAAAAGTCTCTGGAAAGAAGTCACCAGAGGAAGTTAGACAATACAGGAGGAGAATCAATGGAAATAGAGGAAAGAGCTGGGAGGCAAAGGGTATTTATAGAGCTCTAGATAAAGACATGTACATATACAAATATATTAT